CGACACTGATACAGTGATCAGTAAAAATTGGTTCACTGATCAGTGACACTGGTGACAGGGCAGTGCAGGGGTTAACTGGGGGGGGGGGGGGCGATCAAGGGGTTTAAACGGGATTACTGGTGTACTGGCGGGCAAACTGGCGCTATCTGGGAGGGGCGCTAACTCTATCGGAAGTCGCCAGCGACACTGATACAGTGATCTGTAAAAATTGGTTCACTGATCAGTGACACTGGGTGACAGGGCAGTGAAGGGGTTAACTGGAGGGGGGGGGGGGGGGGGGGCGATCAAGGGGTTAAACGGGATTACTGGTGTACTGGCGGGCAATCTGGCGCTATCTGGGAGGGGCGCTAACTCTATCGGAAGTTGCCAGCGACACTGATCAGTAAAAATCGCTTCACTGATCAGTAACACTGGTGACAGGGCAGTGAAGGGTTAACTGGAGGGGGGGGGGGGGGCGATCAGGGGGTTAAATGTGTCCTAGAGTGTTCTAACTGTAGTGTAGTGCTTGTGTACTCACTTTTTGGATGTCTTCTTCTCTGTCTGGAACGGAATGTGTCCAGGCAGAGAAGAATGACATCATATCCTGCCCTGTGTATGTCAACACAGGACAGGATAGGACAGGGACCGATCATGTGATTTCAGCCAGAAATCACTGGCTGAAATCTAATGATTGATCCCTCCTGGATCAAATAGTGTCACCCGCGCGGGTCGGCGGGAGCGCGCGCGCGCGCCCCTGCCGGCGAAAGTGTCGGGAGCGCGGAACCCGTTTTTAAACGTGGTTTTGCGCTCCACTGCCGCCCTGCACACGTATATACACAGTGGCAGGGCGGCAAGCGGTTAATATAATCAAACCAAAAACACTGCAATTTAAAATATAGCGCCAAGTTCGCACATCACTGAGCAAAGTCGCAAAATCGTTTTCAGTGTTTGATGACGAATTTCCCCACGAATCATTATCACTCAATTCTGCAAGTGTTTCTGATTTACTATCGCTGATATCTAGCTGGTCTAAATCTGCCCGTACGTCCCAACGTGCTCGCAGGGGACGGAACCCAGATGACAGATGCTGGCATCCGCCGGATTACATTGCCAGGGATACTGCAGGAGGGACATCGCGGGAGCGAAGGACAAGGTAAGTGATCGAGGGATTCCGCAGCAGCGCTGCATGGTATTTCCGAGTGTAGCTCGGGGTTACTGCTTGTGGTACTGAAACCTTACCCCAAGTTACACTCGGGAATACCGCCAGGGAGCCTACAACAAAAACAGCAACAAAATACAGAATACATTTAGCTCCTACTCCTGACGATCCCAGATATCACATACAGGGGTTAGAAAAAAATAAATAAAATGGGAATACTATGATTTGCACGTGAGAAAATGACGGTATTGTGCATTGAAAGCGGAAATGATGCAACATACTTTTGCTTCCACTATATAAGACACCTACTTGACAGGTGGGAAGCCTCACTTTCATCATTCACTGTGTACACTGCTAATACGGAGTTGTGTCAGAGCTTCAAAGAGGGCAAATTGTTGGTGCTGGTGCCTCTGTGACGGAAGTTGCCAATTTGCCATGTCGCGAGATACCATATCAAAGTTGTGATGACATATACAGTTTCCGGGAAAACGTCTGATAAGCATAATCACGTTCCATATGGTCAACTGACGGGAAGAGACAAAAGGACATTGCATAGGATTGTGATCTGGAATAAGAAAATAACTGCTGCAAAAGTGACTGAAGAGCTCAATCTTAGTCAGAAGACTGAGATTGAGCTCTGCAGTCACTTTTGCAGCAGTTTTTCTTTTCTGGGTCACAATCCTGCGCAATGTTCCTTTGTCTCTTTCGGTAATCCTCAGGTAAAAGGTCAAGAAAACCCTTTTTCACAAGTGTACAGAACTGTATGGCCATGTGAAGGAGGCCTAAATTTTACCTAAAATTCAAGCTGTGCTGGCAATATTTTCTACCCATGTTTCTGCTAGGCCAGTTGAGGGCTGCCACATTTTTCCCCTCACTTGTCAGAACAGGAATAGCTGGAAACAGTTCTAACAGAAATACAAACAACAGATTTTTAATTAATTGGGAAAGGGTTGAACTTTCTACCAATGTTTAATGCAATCTGCCTTTGTTTTCTTGTGATGTCAGCTTCCACCAATTTTTGTCCATGTGTCACAGGGGCAGGAAGTGACAGAAAATCTGGGCAATGGGGCTGTAGACAGAAATAAAATCCAGCAGAATTTAACTTATCCTTACAGCATCAAAAATAAATAAAAATAAAAATGTCACACTTTAAAGTGCTATTAAACCCAAAATCATAGTTTATTGCAGCTTACACATTTCTAGATGTGATGGCTGGATTCATTTTCAGTTTTTAGGCTTTCTTCTGTTTTCATCAGGTGATCTAGCCAGTAAAACTCTGTTTACATTGATGAGACAGACCATTTCTCACTGGCAGGGGTGATGATTAAAATGATCAGTTTTTATTTATTCATGTGTAACCTTTATCCCAAAAGGAAGAAAAAACGGTTTGTTGTAACGGTTTATAAAGTGTGAGCTGGACTTTGGCTTCAATTTGTTTAGTGTATTTAAATAGGTTAATATATTTAACACTCTCCCCATACTAACAATGCTGCTGTCTGCTGTGCCTCCTGTGCTCCTTCATGGAGGTATCTCACTAATACAGGCAGTGTTACTGGCCAGATCCTCAAGTGACAACAGAGGAAAAATGCCAAATACGGTGCCTTGAGAACGTACTCATACCCCTTAAAATTATCCACATTTTGTCATGTTACAACCAAAACGTAAATGTATTTTATTGGGAATTTATGTGATAGACCAACACAAAGTGGCGTATAATTGTGAAGTGGAAGGAAAATGATAAATGGTTTTCAAAATCTTTTATAAATAAATATTTGAAAAGTGTGGCATGCATTTGTATTCAGCCCCCCGTCAATACTTTGTAGAACCACCTTTCGCTGTAATTACATTTGCAAGTCTTTTTGGGGATGTCTCTACCAGCTTTGTACATGTAGAGAGTAAATGTTTGCCCATTCTTCTTTGCAAAATGGCTCAAGCTCTGTCAGATTGCATGGAGAGTATCTGTGAACAGCAATTTTCAAGTCTTGTTACAGAATCTCAATTGGATTTAGGTCTGGACTTTGACTGGGCCATTCTAACACATGAATATGCTTTGGTCTAAACCATTCCATTGTAGCTCTGGCTGTATGTTTAGGGTCGTTGTCCTGCCCCAGTCTCAAGTCTTTTGCAGACTAACAGGTTTTCTTCTAAGATTGCCCTGTATTTGGCTCCATCCATCTTGCCATCAACTCTGACCGGCTTCCCTGTCTCTGCTGAAGAAAAGCATCCCCACAACATGATGATGCAACCATGTTTTACAGTGGGGACAGTGTGCTCAGGATGATGTGTGGTGTTAGTTTTCCGCCACACATAGCATTTTGCTTTTAGGCCAAAAAGTTCAATTTTGGTGTCATCTGACCAGAGCACCTTTTTCAACGTTTGCTGTGTCCCCCACATGGCTTCTCTCGCATACTGCAAACAGGATTTCTTATGGCTTTTTATCAAAAATGGCTTTATTCTTACCACTCTTCCATAAAGGCCAGATTTGCGGTGTGCACGACTAATAGTTGTCCGCTGGACAGATTCTCCCACCTGAGCTGTGGATCTCTGCAGCTACTCCAGAGTTACCATGGGCCTCTTGGCTGCCTCTCTGATCAATACTCTCCTTGACCAGCCTGTCAGTTTAGGTGGATGGCAATGTCTTGGTAGGTTTGCAGTTGTGCCATACTCTTTCCATTTTCGGATGATGGATTGACCAGTGCTTCACGAGATGTTCAAAGCTTGGGATATTTGTTTTTGTAACCTAACCCTGCTTTAAACTTCTCCAAACTTTATCCCTGACTTGTCTGGTGTGTTCCTTGGCCTTCATGATACTGTTTGTTCACTGATGTTCTCTAACAAACCTGTAAAAGCTTCACAGAACAGCTGTATTTATACTGAGATGAAATTACACACAGGTGGACCCGATTTACTAATTAGGTGACTTCTGAAGGCAATTGGTTCCACTAGATTTTAGTTAAGGGTATCAAAGTAAAGAGGGCTGAATACAAATGAAAAAAAATTTTGAAAACCATTTATCATTTTCCTTCCACTTCACAATGGTGTGCCACTTTGTGTTGGTTTATCACATAAAATCCCCAAAAAATCCATTTACGTTTTTGGTTGTAACATGACAAAATGTGGAAAATATCAAGGGGTATGAATGCTAATTCAAGGCACTGTAAAAGAAAATTGATACAGCTACCACATCTGTCTTCAGCAGAGCGAATGTTCACCTGTTTAGAATTGGCTCCCTTTCCCCTGGTCTCTGCCATCACTACAACTGAGGGTATTCCCCTATGGGGTACTCAGAGTATACTGTGGGAGACAGGGTAAGCCTGTCCAGAAGCAATGGTGACCCAGCTCCATATTTTCCTGCAACGAATCATCGTGGAGAAAGGATGGGAAGAAGCACGAGTGCCTTATAGGGGCTTTAGGCAGAAGTGGCGTTAAAGTGCATGACCAGTGGTGTGATGTAACACATGGTCATCCACATGAGACTGAGCAGATGGAAGAAACTTGAATCATAGTCAAGGCATGCTGCGATGGACAATTGTGTCACAAGTAGCTGTGCTCTCAACCAAATTTTCAAATCATCAAATGACTGGCGTCCTAACTGATAACGTGCAGCATCACGGCAACTGCAGATCAAACAGAGGCTAAGATGGAAGCTTTCTTGGCTGTAAAGAATAGGATGGTTTATTTTAGGCTAGATATTAGCTAAAAGATACCAAATTTAGTTTACTCAATCAACATAAAACTCACACACACAAGGCTACAAAAAAACAAGTAGTTTATTTACACACATTTTGTAGATTTTGGATAAATGATCACCCATAATTTCTGATCACTCACAGACAAGAAAAAGGAGCTCTTATGGGTGGAATTACAACCACTTGTAAAAGACTTTCTCGTTTACAGTCTGTAGTTCAAGCCTCACTGGACATTTGTACAAGTAAGACAGCAATGTCTCAGTGTAGCCAGTTAGAAAATAGAGCTTGTGGGGAGCAAACCTTCGCAAGGTGACAGCACATATTACTATTAGATTGGCTCGTCTCTTGATCAATATCTCATTAGCCAGGAGACCATGGAATGTACCATACATAAATTTTCGAATGTAGACATCTTCTATAGTACGCTCTGCAGCATCCTCTTCACCATCCAAGTTACCTAAATGTAAAAAAAAAGAAAAATCAATAAAAAAAATATTTAACCATATACAGGAGATTTCACAGTAACTGCCAAACATTTCTATTCAGCAAGCTACATTTTTCTGTAGAAGTGGAAACAAGTGCTACAAATAGGAAGTAACATGTTTACTTTGTGCAGGACAGTTCACCTACTGAACAGCTTCTTTATGTAAGAAAGGTAAAATAGTTTAAGTGTTAAATTATTCATATAGAAGATCTTAAACTCCTTAACATGTTAATTCTTATAAAAAATGCATGTGGTCAGGAAAGAGAAATATAAATATAAATAAACACCGCAAATTTAGATGATTAATCAATATAATAAATCATATAAAATAGGTGCATAAATTATTCGTGTTTGCCCTTAATCTTAAAAAAAAAAAACACCCAAAAGTCCATGTGCTGAAAACATAATTAAATTGTTGAAATAAAAGTGCAAACTTCTTTTCTTCAAAAAATACTTTCACCTTCCACCCGTGCACAAACCAACATCGAATACACTCACCAGAACTTGGTGAGTAAAAGACCTTTAAGGAATTTTTAGGGATCCTAAACCCTCTTTGGTGCCACGCTAGGGAAAATCTTCACCCTCCGAATAGACTCCACCATCCAACCAAAAGAAAAAAACTCACATAGCATAATATTGTCACACAATAGTAACTTTTTCCAAATGGAGATTAAGGCCACTCACATGTTAAACACTTGCTAAAGGCATGTTTATTATGTATAAAAGGCTTCAGTTCCAGCAGATATACAAACTTTTCCTTCCAGGACTCTCACATCCACAGTGGAACAAAGACAGGACTCCTCTTAGACCAAACAGTGAACCAAGATGGCCGCTGGAACGCACCGCTCGGCGTGCGTTCCACTCACCGGAAATGACGTCAGGCGCATGGAGTGTGGACCGGAAATGCGTCAACGCGTTTCACCCCTCCCATAGGGCGTTATCAAGGAAAAGTTTGTATATCTGCTGGAACTGAAGCCTTTTATACATAATAAACATGCCTTTAGCAAGTGTTTAACATGTGAGTGGCCTTAATCTCCATTTGGAAAAAGTTACTATTGTGTGACAATATTATGCTATGTGAGTTTTTTTCTTTTGGTTGGATGGTGGAGTCTATTCGGAGGGTGAAGATTTTCTCTAGCGTGGCACCAAAGAGGGTTTAGGATCCCTAAAAATTCCTTAAAGGTCTTTTACTCACCAAGTTCTGGTGAGTGTATTCGATGTTGGTTTGTGCACGGGTGGAAGGTGAAAGTATTTTTTGAAGAAAAGAAGTTTGCACTTTTATTTCAACAATTTAATTATGTTTTCAGCACATGGACTTTTGGGTGTTTTTGTTTAAGATTAAGGGCAAACACGAATAATTTATGCACCTATTTTATATGATTTATTATATTGATTAATCATCTAAATTTGCGCTGTTTATTTATATTGTTTGTGTTTTCACGATTGGCACAGCAGCATTTTTAGAGTGTTATTTGGAAAGTTTTGGCGCAGGAATAAGTTTTCTTGTAGGAAAGAGAAATACCTATATTTAGGGGTTACTGGACAAGAGTAACATTTATAGTACAACCAGAAGATGTCACTGTTCTATTCAGGTGTTCACTGTTCTGTAGATGACGCATTTTACTGCAGCAGTGAAAAAAAAAAAAAAAAAAAAAAAAAAAAAAAAAAAAAAAAAAGAAGGCAGGGTGAAATGATGTATCCACAAACCACACAGATTTAATTGGATAACAGACGTGCTGGAAATCAGCTGCCATGGGTCTTATTTAAAAACAAGACAGATAATGCTGCTAGATTCCAGCCGTCATTTAAAGGACTTGCTGTCTGTAACCATCTGAACCTTCCTTTTGCCCAGATTTTATACATCTCTGCATTTGCATGCACATTTTGAACGCTTCAGTTTGCTTTTTTTATTGAAAGCACAAACATTTTAAATGCCACATTTACCTCTTTTTTTTTTTCATTGCCTGCGATAAAAGCAGATAAACGTACCAACATTCTACCTACTAATTATGAACATAAACATTTCTGTACTTTTCCAAATTCAAACAAACAGGTTGGTTTTGTGGTGACTATCCCAAGTTTAAAGTAAATTTGTCATTAAAGGAATAAGTAGCTGGCCATCGTTGACCACTTTCTAAAGCCTAACTTCAAGTCTGTTGGCTTTAGTATATTCAGAGTCATTGACCCAGAACAAGTATGCAGATTATATAATCTTACTTCTCTTGCTGTTTACTTGCTCTTAGACAGTTACTCAGAAGGTATCGAAACTAAAAGGACAAGTACGACACCCAGGCAACTAGTTCTATTATAACAAGATCAAAAAGACATCCACAAGTATGTTTCTTATGATAAGTTTCTTTAAAAAACAATGCCCTACCTCAAGCCCACCCTTAAAAATGTGTCAAGTTTCAAAAAACTTGTTCGTTTTGGTACACGGCAAAGGAATTCGAGGCAAAAGCGTTTGAAACTGCATGGCAGATTGCGCATTACAGCCTTGTAGACTCCTATAGGGGTTGTCTTCCTTCATCTCCAGCCTCAGAAAACAAAAGGTAAATGAGCCCTAAAGAAGGCTTTGGAGATGTAATGTGCAGGTGTGGCCAGGACAGAGAGGACTCTTGATGCTAGATGTAAACAATCTGAAGAAGCCAAGTCCTTTAGAGCTCTGTAAGTATGCATTTATGGAGCAGGGAGGGTGGGATTAGTTAGGCCAGGGCATATGGGGCATTAAGGATAAGTGTACATTGTTTTAAAGTGCATTGAATAGTTCACTTTTACCAGAAAACTGCCTATGCAGGTAAGAAGCACCTGTAGATAAAATCAAACTGTGCAGCTTTGCCCAAAGTTGAATAATGCCCTTGTTATGTGTGTATGCCATTTATGCACCTTCCGAAGCCTCGTTGCTAGGATGTTGCTAAGATGCTCCCAGCTGTTACTGCTCACCCTCATCACAGGTGCAAGCTCTCTTTCTTATTCTGACTGCAGCGCTGTAGCAGCAGAAGAGATACTACACATGTTAAGGATCTGCTCCTGTTATGATGGAGTGAACAGTAATGGCTGTAAGTGTCCTAGCAACAAGACAGAAGAGGGGGGCACCATTTCTGGGAGTTTTTCAGTCAGCCTTCATGAGGTACCTACATGGCCTAGACTTATAGCAAGGGCATTACTCAATTTTAGTCAGAGCTGTACAGCTTGTTTTTATCTTTAGGCGCCCATTACCTGCATAAACAGTTTTTTTGGTGAGGGTGAACTAACCCTTTAATCCTTTAAAAAGAATCTTTTTGTATTATATATGTTTTTTCCCTGGAGTTGGAATGGAATATATTCTGTTTTGAAGAATTTTTTATTTTTTTTTTATTATTAACCACTTTAACTGCTTGCTGTCCAGCCACTGTAGAAAAAAACGGCCACAAGGTGGCACCGCTGGGCAAAATCACATTTTAAAATATCATTTTGCAAAACAGGTAGGGGGTGCACATGAGGCGCGCGCCCGCCCTACCCGTCCTGCCGCTTGCGGCAGTGGGTGTCAATCACTGGGTCCTGGGCCGTCATTACCCGCCGGATCCCAGCAAACAGTGACACAGAGCACAGTTGCATTGTTTACAATGCAGCTCTGCTCCCTGTCAGCTCCTAACACGCTGATCCTGAGAGCAGAGTTTATCTCTTGGGATCAGCGTGTTCCTGTGAAGCACACACCCCCGCCCCCTAGAAAAACACTCCCCTCACACAGTTAACTCTTTCATTGCCTAAAAAAGTTAACTCCTTCCTCCCCAGTGCCATTAGTACAGTATTGTGTTTTTGTGCATTAAAAGTAAAAAAAAAAGTATTTTTTTTTTAAAAATTGCTTTTGAAAAATCACTGCGCAAGTATTATGTGCCATAAAACATTGTAGTACCCACCATTTTATTCACTAGGGTGTCTGCTTTAAAAAAAATATATAATGTTTGGGGGTTTAAATTAATTTCCGAGCAAAAAACACAGATTTTTTTCATGTGAACAAAAAAGTGTCAGAAAAGGCTTGGTCTTCAGGTGGTTAGAAGAGTGAGTGATGTGTGGCATAAACTTCTAATGCTGGGCATAGAATGCCCCCACCCCCCAAAACGACCCCTTTTTGAAATGTAGACACCCCAAACTATTTGCTGAGAGGCATGTGGAATCAATAGAAGAATTTATTTTTTTACCACAAGTTTTTGGAAAATGACAAAAAAAAAATATTTTTTATTTTACTACACAAAATTGTCACTTAAATGATTTACTGCTCATACATGCCATGGGTATATGTGGAATTACTCCCCAAAATACATTCTGCTACTTCTCCCAAGTATGGGGGTACCACATGTGAGACGTTTTGGCAGTCTAGCCAAGCACAGGACCCCAAAATCCAATAAGCACCTTCAGGCTTTTAAAAGGACTTTATTTCCTCATTACACTTCCAGACTACCTATCACAGTTTTGGAGGCCCTAAAATGCCAGGATAGCACTAACACCCCCCCCCCATGACCCCTTTTTGGAAAGTAGACATCCCAAGGAATTTTATAAGAAGCATGGTAAGTATTTTGCAGATCTCATTTGTTTCCACAAGTTTTTGGAAAATGAAAAAAAACCAAAAAAAAAAAAACAATTTTTTTCTATTTTTTTTTATACTTCAAAACCTTGTGAGAAAAAATTAGATCTGCAAAATACTCACCATGCCTCTTTTTAAATTCCTTGGGGTGTCTACTTTCCAGAAAGCGGTCATTTGGGGGGGTTTGGTGCTATTCTGGCATGTCAGGGCATTCAAAACTGTGATAGGTATTGAGAAAAGTGAAATGAGGAAGTTACGCACCTTCAGGCTTTCAAAGTGGTCATTGGATTTCAGGCTCCTGTATGTGACTAGGCTCCCAAAAAGTCTCACACATGTGGTATGCCCATACTCGGTAGAAGTAGAAGAATGTATTTTGGGGTGTAATTCCACATATACCCATGGCTTGTGCGAGAAATACATCATTTAAATGACAACTTTGTGTAAAAAAAAAAAAAAAAAAAAATGTTTTTGTCATTTTCCAGAAACTTGTGGAAAAAAAATAAATCTTACATTGACTCAATATGCCTCTCAGCAGATAGTTTAGGGTGTCTACTTTCCAAAAAGGGGTCATTTGAGGGTGTTTGTGTACTATCCTGGTATTTTAGCACCTCAAGAAATGTGATGGGCAGTCAGAAAGTAAAAGCTGTGTAAATTCCATTATCTATACCATAGTTTGTAGACGCTATAACTTTCACACAAAGCAATCAATATACACTTACTGGGATTTTTTTTTTTTTTAACCAAAAACATGTAGCAGAATACTTTTTGGCCTAAATTTATGATGAAAGTTTAGTTTTTTTGGATATTTTTTATGACCAAAATGAGAAAAATATTGTTTTTTTTAAAAAAAAATAGTTTTTTCTTCAAAAATGTTTTTGTTTATAGCGCCAAAAATAAAAAGTGCACAGGTGATCAAATACCACCAAAAGAAAGCTCTATTTATGTGAAAAAAAAAAGGACATAAAATTTCATTTATGTACCGTATTGCATGACTGCACAATTGTCCATTAAACTAGCGCAGCGCTGTATAGCAAAAAAATGGCGTAAATAGCAGTATCCATACCATAGTTTGTAGACGCTATAACTTTCACACAAAGCAATCAATATACACTTATTGGGATTTTTTTTTTTTAAAAACATGTAGCAGAATACATTTTGGCCTAAATTTATAACTAACTTTGAGTTTATAGCTGAAAGTAAAAAATATTGTTTTTCTTCAAAATTTTTGGTCTTTTTTTGTTTATAGCATGAAAAATAAAAAGCGCACAGGCGATCAAATACCACCGGAAGAAAGCTCTATTTGTGTGAAAAAAAGGACATACATTTCGTTTGGGTGCAGCATTGCATGACCGCACAATTATCAGTTGAATTAGTGCAGCGCCGAGTAGCAAAAAATGGCCTGGTCATTAAGGGGGGTAAATCCTCAGGAGGGCAAGTAGTTAATTTTCACTTTCCTGTTTTACACATGCAAATGTATACATCAATGACAGCAAATGCATTTACTGTTTGTGTGTTTACAGTGAAAATCTTTTAAAAACTACTCGTCCAGGGACTAAATCAGTGCCCCAATCTACTTGTCCCTCATGACAATCTACTTGTCCTGACAGAATTTTTATTTTTAACCAAAACCGTATGTAAATCTGCTTTAAGTAACATCTGGAACGTTAAAAACAAAAAGGGGCTTTATGGCGACTTAAACATTTAATGTTTTTAACGTTGCGCTGTTTATCTCCTCCTCCCCTCCCTGCCTGTCTCCAGCGCTGCACTCGGTGACTAGCAGGGAGGGGAAAGACCTTGCAATGTAAAGAGCACCGATTGGGTGCTTGTCAGGAAATGGGAGTGTCGGGCTTATCCATTATCCCTTTCGCTGCCAGAGCTGTTTTTGCATACATTTAAAAAAAATAATTTAAGGCCTGAAGATGACACAAAACCCCCCAAACATTGTGTATTTTCTGAAATCAGAGATCCTAGAGAATAAAATAGCGGTAGTTCCAATTTTTTATGTCACACGATATTATCACAAAGGTCTAATATTATATGTCACACGATATATTATCACAAACGCAAAATTTCAGTGAAAAAATACACTTAAGTTAATTTTAGGCACAAAAGCTGTCAGGTGTGAATGGAGAACAGGTGTGTTCAATTTGGTGTTATCACTGTCACTCTCTCATACTGGTCACTGGAAGTTCAACATGGCACCTCATGGCAAAGAACTCTCTGAGGATATGAAAAAAAGAATTTTTCTCTATACATAGAAGGTGGCCTAGGCTATAAGTAGATTGCCAAGACCCTGAAACTGAGCTTCAGCACAGTGACCAAGACCATACAGGGGTTTAACAGGACAGATTCCATTCAGAACAGACCTCGCCATGGTCGACCAAAGAAGTTGAGTGCACGTGCTCAGCATCGTATCCAGAGGTTGTCTTTGGGAAATAGAAGTATGAGTGCTGCCAGCATTGCTGCAGAGGTTGAAGGGGTGTGGGATCAGCTTGTCAGTGCTCATATATTCCGCACACTGCATCAAATTGGTCTGCATGGCTGTCATCCCAGAAGGAAGCCTCTTCTAAAGATGATGCACAAGAAAGCCCGCAAACAGTTTGCTGAAGACAAGCAGACTAACGACATGGATTACTGGAACCATGTCCTGTGGTCTGATGAGACCAAGATAAACTTATTTGGTTCAGATGGTGTCAAGTGTGTGTGGCAGCAACCAGGTGAGGAGTACAAAGATAAGTGTGTCTTGCCTACAGTCAAGCATGGTGGTTGGAGTGTCATGGTCTGGGGCTGCATGAGTGCTGCCGGCACTGAGGAGCTACAGTTCATTGAGGGAACCATGAATCCCAACATGTACTGTGACATACTGAAGCAGAGCACGATCCCCTCCCTTCGGAGACTGGATCGCAGGGCAGTATTCCAACATAACGACCCCAAGCACACCTCCAAGATGACCACTGCCTTGCTAAAGAAGCTGAGGGTAAAGGTGATGGACTGGCCAAGCATATCTCTAGACCTAAACCCTATTGAGCATCTGTGAGGCATCCGCAAATGGAAGGTGGAGGAGCGCAAGGTCTCTAACATCCACCAACCCGTGATGTCATCATGGAGGAGTGGAAGAGGACTCCAGTGGCAACCTGTTGAAGCTCTGGTGAACTCCATGCCCAAGAGGGTTAAGGTAGTGCTGGAAAATAATGGTGGCATCACAAAATATTGACACTTTGGGCCCAATCTGGACATTTTCACTTAGGGGTGTACTCACTTTTGTTGCCAGCGGTTTAGACATTAATGGCTGTGTGTTGAGTTATTTTGAGGGGACAGCACATTTACTGTTATACAAGCTGTACACTCACTACTTTACATTGTAGCAAAGTGTAATTTCTTCAGTGTTATCACATGAAAAGATAGAATAAAATATTTACAAAAAATGTGAGGGGTGTACTCACTTCTGTGAGACACTGTATATGGTAGACATTGTTCCTGACAAAGGATTTGGATCTGTGTCCATCAAATCCTAAGTCCCAAGCCACATAGTAGAGCTCTATGGCAGGGAAGGAGATCTGATTTTTTTCTTCTGCAGTTCATTAACACTTACTTGACAGTGAAAAGAGAAGCAGCACACTGATGTGCTCATCTCTGTCACTCTGCTCTCTCCTACAAACATGTTCCTTGTTTGTACATGACCACTCCAGCACAGCTGACTGACACCATGTGTGGCTTCTTAATTTTAAATCTAGAGTGTAAAAACGCAGGCGGTGCATGCTGCTTCGCTTTGATTTCTTTACTTACACCTTCATTCAGGCAGCATAATAGAACTCTAGAATACTTCAGCTTGCTGCAACTCTCATACATGGAATTTGCAGTGTTTGGCTACCCCCTTCTCCCCTTGCCCAGTCACAAAATGCTTAGTATTCTGTGAACCATCCATGCCTGGTAATTAACCTATACCAAGACAAATATGTTTGCTGTCATCACCAAATTCTTTCTGAAATGTTTAGTTGACTGACTGTCTACCTTCAGCACTTGCAGAAGCTCTGACCAGAACAAGCATGCAGCCAGTAAAAGCTGAGCTATCTGTGCTGTACTGCACATTTGTTTGCAGTTAGCAACTGAAAGCATTAAGGCACCTAAAAAGCATAATAGCTAGGCATTTTCAGAAGGAGGTCAGCAATGGAAGCCTACTTATTTTTCTTATAAAATTTCATCTTTAACACCAACTTTCATAAATTTAAATGTAAAATACAGATCTTAAAGTGGCCATGTCACTAAAGGGTCAAATCAGACATACCTGTAAAAGGAAGGAGTACTACACTTACCATCTGGCGGCAGTGCCATGGCTGCTGCAAACATCTAATAGTGTGAATGTGTGAACACCGGCTACCCACACCATACACAGTGGTTGCTCCCCCCGGATAGTATGTCGCTATAGGACATCTGACAGGTACAATTACCTGCAGAGGCTGGGGAGCAGATTTACAGCATCTCAAGACACATGCCAGCGGAAAAGTGTGTCATTTTGCTGTTTTGACACTGTAGTGACAGGGTCACTTACAAAAAAAAAAAAACCTTGAGAAATTTTAAATTATATTTACATTTTAAGCAAATTTTAGCTATCATGCTATATCAAGTAGTTAAATCTCGGCAACATGCTAAAATACGCAAAGAAAAAGCAGAGTTCAGATTTGTAATGAATAAATAACAGTTAAACAGCTCTCACTTGTGTGTTGAGACAGCCATCCTTTCCTATGGGCAATAGAGTGTGGAGCGTTGGCTTTCTCATAGGTCACAGGCTTATCACCTTTACTCACACGCACACGTGCTGCCTGGTTCTAGGGCAAGATGTGAATACATTAACATATATACAATCAGCTGTGCACTTGGAATAAATAGCAGTCTTTCAAACCAGTTTTCACAGAGGTCAAAGCGGACCTGCAATTTTGTAGAATCTTCTGTGCTCCAAGGAGGAATATTCAATAAAGCCCCCCCAACAAAATTCATATAATTTTAGTTAATTTCAACGTCAAGCATAAACTAGCTTATCTCAATCGATTATAAAAATAATTTTTTTTTACAATATGCATTCTCTGCATTAAGGTAAAAATCCATCCACTGTCTGTTGGACACACTGGGGTTTATTTACTAAAGCTGGAGAGTGCAAAATCAGACTCACTTCTGCATAGAAACCAATCAGCTTCCAGGTTTCATTGCCAAAGCTTCATTGAACAAGCTGAGGTTAGAAGCTGATTGGTTTCTATGCAGAAGGGAGTCTGATTTTGGACTCTCCATCTTTAGTAAATAAACCCCAGTAAGTCTGGCTCAGGAGAGTGGGGACCAAAGAGCATCAGTTGGGACCCCAAAAAAGGAGGTTTCAGGGTGGCTCTGTGCAATTGCATTGCACACAGCAGGTAAGTATAAACAGATGGGGGTCCATTCCCCTTCAGTTTGTCAGTTTGATAGGATGGAAGTCAGATGGAAATGGACAGGCGGCACATCTGACCGCATATAGCGGACAGCGGGCTCTATCTGTGTCCGCTCTGCAGCAGTGTAGCAGACACGGACCTGTCATCTGCTTGCTCCGTGGGGATAAGTGGAGAGATCCCGCTGAGTAAGTGGATCCGCTGATGAGTCCATCACGTGTGAAAGGGGCGTTATACACGTTGCAGACTCCTATGCAGAAAAAAATCTGCACATGATACTAGTGTTGTGGTGTGAACAGGGCACATAGAGAACAATTGATTTTGTAATGCCCTTGCAGAATGAGTGCAGAAAAACTGACGTCTCTGCACCTCGGTGTGAATGAGCCGTAAACTGGAACTAAACTCATTGATTTAACTCTCATAACTGTTAAAGTGGAACTTAACCCTCCCATCCTTTTCAGCCACGGAAGCTGCCATCTTAGTCTCTTATCTTCAACTGTCATGATGCTGAACATGTAATCAGTTATGACACCAGACATTTGAGGGCTCGTTCACACCATACGTGCACAAAAACTGCACAGATTTCAATTGCAGAGACATGTTTACATTAGTTTCACATCAGTTTTTATGCATGTTGACATCAGTTATTATGCACAGACTGACATCATATCCTGTGTCATCACCCCCTCATCAGTACCACCCTCATTAGTGATCCCCAGTTCAGTTCAGAGACTCCTCATCAAAGAATCCTCATCAGGAACCCCCAGTCAGTGTCCCCCTCATCCGACTCCTTCTATTCGTGTCCCCCACCCTCAGTTCCCCTTCATCTGTCCCCTGCCATCAGTGTTCCCTACCATCAGAACCCCTCATCTGTCTTCCCCACCGTGCTCAGTTATCTGTCCTCTGCCATCAGTGACCGCTCATCTGTCCCCTAGTGACCACTCAGAAAATCCTCATCAGGAACCCCCCCCCCCCCCCCCATCAATCTCCTGTCATTAGTGTCCCCCGCCAACAGTGCCCCTTTATTTGTCCTGCTCCATCAGTGTCCCCTCATCTGTCCCCCACCATCATTGCCCCACCTCAGCAAGTATAACATGTTTATTATTTTTTTGAAAAAGAAAAATTCAAACTTTAGAATCAATTTAACTGTTAAAAAAATAAAATTACATTCCCTGCATGCTGGGAATGCTGTCACATTTCCTTGTGCCCCCAACCAAACTGTTAAAACCATCAAATGGCTGGTGTCATAACTGATCACATGTGCAGCATTATGGCGATTGAAGATCAAACAGAGCCTAAAATGGCAGTTTTCTTGGCTGTAAAGGATAACAGGGTTTAGTTCTGCCTTAATTATAGCTTTGTGAATTGAGCATATACTGTAGTGTCTCCGGACGATTTTCAAATGGAAAACAGTAGAATACTACAATGGGCAACTTACCTTTAGACATATGGAAGTTGTCTGAAGGGCACGGATTTGACAATATCTAGGAAGAATGGAATCTAGTCTTTTGGGCAAAGCCTGAAACAAAAAAAATATATTTGAATGTAAGGACATTAAGACAGCTAATAGATTTTTAACCTTACAGTTTTAGGGTGTTGTATGATGCTTTGCAGTTAGGGGCTGGAACTTGTGCTGCACCAGAACTAAGGGAAAATCAAATGGCTGATAAATGACTGAAATAATTATTTTTTAAAACTCACGTGCCAGTCACCTATCAGGGCAGAAATAAGATAAATTAGCTTTTTTTTTGGCAAGTCTAAACTCCAGGGCTCCAGACTAGACCTTAGCCTCTCTTCATTGGTTCTTGGACAGTGGATTAATTAAGATGAATCTGTAGTCTTCTTAAAATGTAAGGGCTCATGCACATTGGCATACGATTTGCAGCGTACAGAGAGGTAATTTACATGGATCTGAACATTGCAGTATTGTGTGGTCTTCTCTGGTACCACGCTTGCGCTCCTGGCTCCTTCTCTTCTCAGTGTGCCACCAAAGGAAGCCTCTTCCTATGTTGGCACACCTGTTGGCTTGATCCTGAGCTGCGCTACCTGCATCCGTAGACAGACTGTGCAGCTTGGTCCTGCCCCCTCATCCCAGGACTTGAATGACAGCAGTGAGAGACAATGGTGCCTCAGCAAAGCCCGTGATAGTGCGGAGAGCAGCTACATATGGGCACAGCACTGGATTGAGTGAGGGCTCAGGTAAGTATAAAAGTGGGGGGGGGGGGGGGGGGGGGGGGGGGGGGGGGGGAGGATGAGGTTATCTAAACATTTAATGCAGGGAAAGTAAAAGAAAACCCCAAACCTTTGGTTGACATTAGAGAAGGAATAGAGGACAAATCTTCCAATGGGGGCTCCAATTCTAGTGACACCCCAAGATTCCCTCATTTTGGAGGGACTGCCTCACTTCCTGTTTTGGCTATAGGACAGGAAGTGAAGGGAAATCTTCTTAACGGGGACATAGATGACAAAACAACTGACAGGGGTCATAACCCTCCCTTACATTATCATCAAAAAAAAGTTTTGCCCTTACTTCTCCAGACCAAGCTGTCCAAACAAAGCACCTATTATAGGGTCATGACAAACCATTTGCCATTGACAGGGGTTATTACAAAGGTCAGCTTTTACTAATTTATGCAACATCTTTATTCCAAAAAGGAAAAAAAAAAATGTTGCTGTAACTGATTATAAAGTATTAGCTGGAGTTTGGCTTTAATTTGTTAGTCAAGTCCTTCTAAATCTGCTAGCCTAACACTACCCTCTCCCCCCAAACTGACAGTACTGCTATCCAAGCTTGTCTCTATTGCTCCTTTATCCAGACTGGAGCCACCTTAAAAGTGGAGTTCCACCCAAAAGTGGAATCTCCACTTTTCTGCCTCCTCCCCCCCCCCCCCCTCCACATTTTGCACCTTTTCTTTTGGGGGGGGGGGGGGGTAGGTGGTACCTGGTTCTGATAGGTACCTGCTCCCAATTCTGGCTTAGTTGACCACAGCAAACTGAGCCACAAGTTGGCCACAGCCCTTCCCCTGCAGCCCTCAGGGACACTTCCCAAGGTACCAGAGACAGCTTGGCCTGGACCCTCGCCCAGTGATCTTGTAGGAGGAGCCCGGAGGCTCGAGAGCTGCACAGGGTACACTTTCAGCCAGGGGCCCCGCTCCTCCCCTGACCCACATTCCCTAATACCCTAAAGCCCCACATCTCCCCTAACCCACCCTTCTCCTCCTTTAACCTTCCCTCATACACACATGTGGCACAGTGACACCTGCCGGCCACCCCGCAATGACAAGACTGGCGTCCTGGACATCTGTTACGCAACTCCCTCTAAAGGTTGCGTCCAGCTGCAACCCCCTCCATGCTAGGTCACTAGGGCTGACAAAAGCCCAGACGCCAGGCTGCAGTTTTTAGTTGCCATGGTGAGCTAGCACCCGGGATTTGTTGATCGCTGATAGTATGGGTGACAGCACTGCACAGGTACTGCAGTCGTTTTTGCGCTGCTCTCTCCTTTCCCCTGAAGCCAGTAGCTGGGACCCGATCATGTGACTGGACCAGAACACACTTAGATTAGGTAAGTATAGACATCCTTTCTTTACAGGGGAGTTAGTGTAGGGCTTAGAATAGGGGTGGAAACAGGTTTAAGTCTAAATAGGTTTGGAGTGGACTTTTCTTAAAGATTAGTAAGCTGCAATATATTACATTTTTGGTTTTGGCTTTAATACTGCTTTAAAGTGGTATTAAATGCAAAAGCAACCATTTAATATATTGTAGCTTACCAATTCTTAGCTGTCATGGCATTAGGTTTTTTTTTTTATGTTTTTTTCTATTTTCATCTGGCCATCTGGCCAGTAATACAGGCCATAGACGGTTCATTTATCGGACAATTTTTCGTCCAGAAAACGAAACATCGGTCGTTCTGTTGCCACCAATGATTGCAAAAATCGTCCGTTTTCCAGCATGACCGATAAAAGAAATGAGGAGGAACCGCGAAAATCAGCCGATGCCATCGCCCCACTAACAGTGCGAAAATCGGCCGATTGTTCTTTCGGATGAAATATCGACCGATAAACGAACCGTCTATGGCCTGCCTAAGCCTGTTTTTCAACAGAACATGTTGTTCTGCAGATGTAGCGGTTATAGCGTTGAGACCTTTTCCTCTTCAGTGTGCATAGTGGCGAGAACTTGCACGGGATCACAGCAAGTATACTCACTTTGAACGGTGTATATCTTGTTTGGGAGAATGTATCAGTTACAGAGAGGAGACAAAACATTTACCATCAATAGGGGTGCTTACAATGATCAGCTTTTATTCATTTATGTAAAACCTTTATCTTAAAACAGAGATCTCCAAACTTTCTAAACAAAGGGACAGTTTACTGTGCTCCAGACTTTAGGGGGGCAGGGCCATTTCCAGTGGGAGCACAAAATGTCCCGGCATCAGTGGGAGAAAATGTCCCAACGTTGGTATTAGAGGATATATTAGTACCCCATCGCTGGTGTCAGCGGGAGGGATAGTGCCCCATCATTGCTGTCAGCGGGAGGGATAGTGCCCCATCACTGCTGTCAGCGGGAGGGATTCTGCCCCATCACTGCTGTCAGCGGGAGGGATTCTGCCCCATCACTGCTGTCAGCGGGAGGGATTCTGCCCCATCACTGCTGTCAGCGGGAGGGATTGTGCCCCATCACTGGTGTCAGCGGGAGGGATTGTGCCCCATCACTGGTGTCAGCGGGAGGGATTGTGCCCCATCACTGGTGTCAGCGGGAGGGATTGTGCCCCATCACTGGTGTCAGCGGGAGGGATTGTGCCCCATCACTGGTGTCAGCGGGAGGGATTGTGCCCCATCACTGGTGTCAGCGGGAGGGATTGTGCCCCATCACTGGTGTCAGCGGGAGGGATTGTGCCCCATCACTGGTGTCAGCGGGAGGGATTGTGCCCCATCACTGGTGTCAGCGGGAGGGATTGTGCCCCATCACTGGTGTCAGCGGGAGGGATTGTGCCCCATCACTGGTGTCAGCGGGAGGGATTGTGCCCCATCACTGGTGTCAGCGGGAGGGATTGTGCCCCATCACTGGTGTCAGCGGGAGGGATTGTGCCCCATCACTGGTGTCAGCGGGAGGGATTGTGCCCCATCACTGGTGTCAGCGGGAGGGATTGTGCCCCATTGTGCCCCATCACTGGTGTCAGCGGGAGGGATTGTGCCCCATCACTGGTGTCAGCGGGAGGGATTGTGCCCCATCACTGGTGTCAGCGGGAGGGATTGTGCCCCATCACTGGTGTCAGCGGGAGGGATTGTGCCCCATCACTGGTGTCAGCGGGAGGGATTGTGCCCCATCACTGGTGTCAGCGGGAGGGATTGTGCCCCATCACTGGTGTCAGCGGGAGGGATTGTGCCCCATCACTGGTGTCAGCGGGAGGAATAGTGCCCCATCATTGGTGTCAGCGGGAGGAATAGTGCCCCATCATTGGTGTCAGCGGGAGGAATAGTGCCCCATCATTGGTGTCAGCGGGAGGAATAGTGCCCCATCATTGGTATCAGCGGGAGGAATAGTTCCCCATCATTGGTATCAGAGGGAGGAATAGTGCCCCATCATTGGTGTGAGCTGGAGGAATTATTGTCCCATTGTTGGTGTCAATGGGAGGAATAGTGCCTCATATACGTGGGAGGAATAGTGCCCCATCATTGGTGTCAGTGGGAGGAATAGTGCCCCATCATTGGTGTCAGTGGGAGGAATAGTGCCCCATCATTGGTGTCAGTGGGAGGAATTATTGTCCCATTGTTGGTGTCAATGGGAGGAATAGTGCCCGAAGGGCTGGATGATGGTATGCAAAGGGATGCAGTTTGGAGACTGCTGTCTTAAAAGAAAAAAAATGGTTTGCTGTAAAGTACGGGCTGGAGTCAGGCCTTCATTTGTTCTTGTATCTAAATCTGCTAGTGCATCTAATACCCTCCCCCCCAGACTGACAATACTGCTGTCTGCTGTGCTTCTTCACCCAGAGCGGTGCCTCATTAATACAGGAGGTGTGTTACTGTACAGATCACCAGGTGAAAACAGAAGGATAAAGCCTAAACAAAGAAAACAAATGCATCCACCACGTCTAATGATTGGTAAGCTGCAATATATTACATTTGTGGCTTTAATACCTCTGTGAGAGGTTTCCCTAACTAACCGCTGCCATGACTGGTTCTCTTTATGACTTGGAAATCTCTATCCCACCTCAATATCAATGTATAACAATATAAAAGCCTACTGCAACACTGAATAATATGCAAAAGCATATGAAGAAAACAAAAACTCGTTCAGGCTACAACACTGACATGCCCCCTTTACCTGCAGTCGACACACAGCACTGCGAACGGACGCCGCCATCTTCCTGCGTACCAGCGAGTCCCGATGAGCGGCATTATACTATGACCTTGTAGTAGCGGAAAAACAGTGACATCTTCAGGACGGATGAACGAACTGCAGCCAAGCAGGCTCCTGACTCTCCTTAGGCGGCTGGCGGGGGGAGGGTGATCGTGTGACGTTTATGGCTCAGTAGGAAGAGGTTGCAGGGCGCCAAAA